AAATTAATATGCATATGAAACGGAACTTGACGTCTCTTCTCTATTTTCTCCTGTTCTGGATTTCTATCAGCCATAGATCTCATCAACAAACCCTATCAAATGCAGAATGGTGTGCACATATTAACCCCAACACCAGCTAGATATCTCTCCTTCCAAAATCGGAATGAGGTCTTACATCAAATGAACCATCAAAATTGTAAGGTGGTGGTCATTATGGACCACTGATAACAAAATCTAAATTCTAAGCCTAGTTACGAATGCACTGAATGAAGACCAAAAATTAAGCCCGGTATAAATGCATGTTATTCTAAAAATATATAAATAATAGTTCTGAATCAATAAGTACCTGCGCTAAAAGTTCCTTAGCTCTGCCACCACTCTGAATATCCAGCAAGGCATTATGAGCGTCTCGTATATTGCCCGCTCTGAAAGCACACAGACCCAGTTGTACCATACTACGGTTGTAACGAATCTAGATAGAAATCATACCAATGAATGATGAATTATGTATTTAGATTTACCACGATCACAAAAAAAAACATCATCAAAGTCGTAATAAAAATAAAATTCTAATGTGATGATTTGATGTTGTACACAATGCCCTGTAACTATACGACTGGGATTGAGATAGCTGATCCAATACAGAGTATACACTTATTCAGTATGCAAAACAGCTAATTAATATGCAAGAAAATTTGCAAAAAATAGGCATTCTTGCAACTGATGAGCAGAATCTCACAAGAAAATTTGGTTTCAAATGAGGCAGTTATACCACACAGTTCAGAAATACATTGGTATTATGTAAAACAACTAATTAATATGCAAAGAATGTGCAAAAAATAGCACTCTTGCAGAGTCTTGGAAGAAATGTTCAAATATGGCAGTTAATCATACAATACAGTAGAGATATGCATCAGTATTATGTAAAACAGTTAATTAATATGCAAGAAAATGTGTGAGTTGATCTAAGTCGAATTATAACAAGAGAATTGGCAGTTAAAATAGCTCTGCTGTCCTACAAGAATATTGTGGTAGCCAAATAAAGTAATGCACACCCATAAAAAACAAACAAAATGTTCACAAACATTATACACACCTCAAATATCAAAACGATCAGGCTGGTAGTTTTCAAGAAGTTGAAAATATCATTTTGTATTAACAATATTTTTTGAAAATAGAGAACTAATGATATTGTCACAAAATGAACAAATCTTATAGAGGTCCATCCAAGGTACCAATCAAGTATAGATACAAGCAATCAGAAGAAGAAGTAATCGTTGACTAACAGCTCCAACTCTGTCATCTCTCTTACCTGTGTTGGGACGTCAGCATGATGTATGGTGTCTTGTAAATGCGACATCAACATTAGATCTCTTGCTTGAAACCATCTATCATGTAACGCATGGTGATATATATGACAAAGAATGGCACGAGTTCTTATCATGTCAGTCGAGTCTTTAGAGTAGATGAACTTACACATACGATCCATCAACGCTGAACTTGTCTCTTCTGTAAAATATGAAGATTATTGAGTACACACAACAGAAAACAGAAAGACTTTTCAACTTTTTCAAATTTATGACGAGACACAATTTGTGATTGAGTTAATTTATCATTAGATGTAAACAAGACAAACACACAAATTATACACACACGATGTTAAGCATAAATGATGAGGAAGAAAATTTAAAATCACATTTTTTGAATGATTAATTCACATAAATTTAAAACAATGACCTTTTTCACTTGACTCTTCTTTTTTCTCATCACTACTCTCTTTATCCTTTTTATTTTCCTCTTGTACTTTGTTGTCAGTTTCATCATCTTTATTATCCTCTGCTTTGGATTCCCCTTCCTCCTCATTTTTGGATTCTTCTTTCTTGGTTTCCTCTTTTTCCTCTTTATCTTTGACGCCACCAGTTCTTGCATCCTGTATTTTCTTCAAATTCTCATAATCATACTAGCAAATAAAGACCGCAATTACAGAGGTGTACACCGGAAAAGATGTATACAAGTACTGAAGCTATTTCATAACACTTTTTGTGTTACTATTATTGATTCAACATTTGTCGAATTTAAACAGGCGACTAATCTCAATTTTATAATAATTCTTATTTGTATTGGTACATTGTTCGTATTTTGAGTTGTTATCATATTGTATATGAATGTACACTATGATACGCTTTCTGATTAAGAAGACATGAAAGAAGTGAATATATGCAGTGAGATATTGTTAGTGTGGGTTAGCATCAGGGTTCATAAACCTGAAATGATATAAAATTCTACGATTTTAATCACACTTCCAGGACTATTAGATTATTTTTTTTTTGTCAACATAAGAATTATAGCAGTGGTGGTGCGGCACATGTAAACTATGGTATGGTACGGTACACAGTATGGTATGGTACAGTACGTGGTATGGTATGGTACAGTACAATACAATACACGTCATGATATGGTACGATAAGGTACAGTATGATACAATAGCGTGCGGTACAAGTAAACTATGGCATGGTACGGTACATGGTATGGCACAGCATGGTAAACGCTATGGTATGGTACGGTACACGGTATGGTATGGTATGGTACGGTACACGGTATGGTATAGTACGGTACACTGTATGGTATGGTCCGGTACACGGTATGGTATGGTTCGGTACACGGTATGGTATGGTACGGTACACGGTACGGTATGGTACGGTATGGCACGGTACACGGTATGGTATGGTACACGGTATGGTATGGTATGGTACACGGTATGGTATGGTATGGTACAGTACACGGTATGGTATGGTACGGTACACGGTATGGTATAGTACGGTACACTGTATGGTATGGTACACGGTATGGTATGGTACAGTACATAGTATGGTATGGTATGGTATGGTACGGTACACGGTATGGTATGGTATGGTACGGTACACGGTATGGTATGGAACGGTACACGGTATGGAACGGTACACGGTATGGTATGGTACACGGCATGGTGTGGTACACGGCATGGTA